CGGGCTCCGCTCCATGCTTCCTCGATGCTTCCACGGGCCGTCTCCCAGCGGTCCTCGTGCATCTGGGCGCAGCCGAGACCGAAAGGGTGCACCGTTCCTTACCACCGCTCGCCCAGCTTGCAGTGGCGCGGCTCGCTTCCGGGAGGAGCCCCGCCCCGGAAGGGCGAGGCGGCTGGCTATCGGGCGGATGGCTGCTCCAGTGCCGGCGCTGATCCTCGATCTGGGCCTCCAGGGGCCGTGCTCAGGTCCTGGGACATTCGGGTATGGATCCAGGACGAAGCTCGGCGGCGAGCGAGGAGGGGAAGCGAGAAGCAGAAGGCCTGCTGAGAAAGCTTGGAGGTCCCCTGGCCTTCTGAGAAGTGTTCTAAGCCTGCCGCATGCCCCGAAGACACCGAAAACTTCTCAGAAGGCGCGAGGGTTTCTGAGAAGTCCCGCGGCCTTCTGAGAAGGCCTTCTCCTTCTCACCCCCCCCCCTCGCTAGCCGCCGAGGAGAGCTTTCCCCGAGGTGGGTGTCGAGAACTCTGGGGCCCGCTGGTTGCAAGAACAAGTCCGTCGGACGTCTGGGCAGAAGCGGGAGGAGGCAAGGAGGGGGGGGGAGGAGGAAGGAGGGGGGAAGCTTCAGAAGGCCGGGCTAGACCACCCCAGAAGTGCTCGGGCACAGCTGGACGGCCAGATGAACATGGGTTGGCCGGGTGCTCTCGTACCTCTCAAGTTCTTCGGTTTCTTTATGCTAGCATTATTGCGACGGATCTTGCACAGTGCACCCCAAGAAAATGTTGGACGTTGTTGGCGTTTTAGGGGCCTCTGAAGGCCTCCAGCGACTTCCTCCAGAGACCTCGTGAGACCCAGACCCTTGGCGACTCAAGATTGCAACGGATGCCTTTCGCCGTTGCACGCTGGTCGTTGAAACTAGGTACATTTGGATTCCCAGATCCTTATCTATTTCAAGCGCCTTCTACTTCAAGAGTCGTTATGGTATTGCTGAGTGCTCATTATTAGACAATTATTGAATCGCTTCGCTCATTCCGCCGGCCCGTGATATGGCATCGCTGGTTTTTGTCTGTGTGTTCGTTGCCCATGTTGCGCTCTTGGGGGCGGGTGTCGTTCGGACGCGTTGCGTGGGGAGTTTTGATGGTGAAGCAGTTCCCTGGGGGTCGTCTCTCGATGGGGCGAAATAGAGTCGTCGTCAAGATGCTTCTTTGGGGGGCCTCTTGGGGTCTGTTGAGAGGCCGTTCGGGGGCGCCTGGGAGACATGTTTGAAGCCTTCTGGGGCTTCTTTTGGGCCTCCTGGGAGTCTCCTGGGGCCTCTTGGCGACATCTTGGGGCCTCTTGGAGGCCTCTTGGGGCCTCTTTGGGACCTCCTGGGCGCCTTCTGGGACGGAGGGCTCCATTTTTGAGTTCTCGGTATCCCTCCTGAGTCCCTCTTGGGCCCGTCTTGGGGCCTCTTGGTCCGTCTTGGGCGGCACTTGGGCCGTCTTGAGGGCTCTCTTGGGTCGTTTCGGCGCCGTCTTGGGAGCTTCGTGGGCCGTCTTGGAGCGGTCTTGGGGGCCTCTTGGGCCGTCTTGGAGCGTCCGGAAGCCGAAAAAGCCAGAACACAAAAAACATAGGAAAAAACCAATGAAAATCAACGATTTTGGCCTCTTGGGGCTCTCTTCGGAGGCCTCTTGGAAGGCTCTTGGGGCGTCTTGGAGGCCTCTTGGGCTGTCTTGGGGGCCTTTTGGGCCGTCTTGGGGTCATCTTCGGCGTCTTCGAGCGCTCTTTGGGCGTCTCGGGGGCCTCTTGGGCAGTCTTGGGGGCCTCTTGGGGCACTCTGAGCGCGCTCTGGGGAGCCTGAGAGGCCGCACCCAGAAGGAAAACCATCTCTGAGTAGACTTGGTCGGGCGGCGGTCGGGCGTTGGTCGGGGTACTTTTCGCCGGGGGACCCCCAGGGGCCGCCCCGCGCACGCGAACTAGAAATACTGTTAATACTGTTAACCAGTTACCGGAGATCTTAGCACGCCCTGGCCCGTTGGGCCGGCGAATTATTGTTGGACCCCCCTGGCGCTCTGGCGCTCTCGCCTCGGCGCCAGCTACATTTCCATTGAAGACGAGGCTCACGCTCGAGCGGTTTGGGGGGGCGCCCAAACCAGCCCCCCAACAACAGCAGCAGCAGCAGCAGCAGCAACAACAACAACAACGCTCCCGCTCGAGACTTCCTCTTTCTTTACCCAGAGCCGGTCATCTTGCTCGCCGCCGAAAACCGCCGCCCTAACAAAACCAACGCTCCCGCTCGAGACTCCTTCCGTTTTACCTTGGACTGGCGCGCTACTCTTTCTCTCATCGGCGCCGCCCCCAGCAAGAACAACGCTCCCGCTCGAGACTTCCTCTTGTTTTGCTCAGAGCCGGTGCTTTTGCTCGCCGCTGAAAACCGCCGCCCCAACAAAACCAGCGTTCCCACCCGAGACCTCTTTTTCCGTTTTACGTTGGGCTGGCGCCCAACCCTCTTTTGAATTGGCGCCGCCCCCAGCAAGAATAACGCCCCCGCTCGAGGCCTCCCCCCTTTTTCCTGACGACGGTGCTGTTCCTCGCCGCCGACAGCCCCCGTCCCGACAAAACCGCGGCTCCCGCTCGAGGCTTCTCCCCTTCTTACTCAAGGCGGTGTTCCTCCTCGCCGCCGACAACCGCCGTCCCAACAGAACCAGCGCTCCCGCTCGAGACTTCGTGTTGTTTCACGCTGCACTAGCGCCCTATTCTCTTCTGCATTGGCGCAGCTCCCAGCAACAACAGCACCCCTGCTCGAGACTTCCTCCCTTTCTATTCAGGGCCAGGTCCTTGCCTCGCCGCCGACAGCCCCCATCCCCACCGAGCCAATCCTGTCGCTCGATACTTCCTTGTACTTTACCCTTGGCTGGGGCTCCACTGGCGGTATCGCATCGGCGCAGCAGGGCGCGGGCATGTGTTTTCGAGGTGGGATATGTTGAAATTCCTCGGAGGAGGTGTTTGCAAGACCTCATTGAGCGAGAGATCTGGGAATGGGAACAACGGACCCCCGCGACAGAACAATCATCCTCCATGCTGGGGACGGTTACCATGATGGTCGCATGCTGCGTATGTGGAAGCATCGCGCACGCTGGTAAAATGATTGCTGTTGTTGTTGATTGGTGTTGTCCGGGCGGGCCCGAGCCCAATCTACAGGGTCCGGCTTGAATAAGGAACACTTGCTTTTCAAAAGGGCCCGGCCCTCCCTTTGGATTGCATGTGTGCCGCCGCCTTCTTGGCGGCGACCCCCCCCCCTTGGTGTTCCTGGACTTCCTGGGACAACGAGGGCGTCGTTCCTCCGCTCTCCTTCCCCAGACCCCCGACGTCATGATTTTTTCACGACGTCGACCCCCAGAGGTCCAGACCCCTTCCCCGGGACCGGTTTTGCATCCTGAGTCGTTTTTTGACGCTCCCGAGGCCCGGTGAGGGCCCCCGGAGGCCGAAAATTCGGAAAAACCTCCCGTCATGATTTTGTCATTTTTCGAGGGGGTCTGGGTCCCGAGATCCCTCCGAAGAATTACACCGTGCCCGTTCTCCCAAGAGGCCGCCGCGCCTCGGGCCGCGCCGCCTCTCGCCCTCTCCCCGCCCGGGGGCCCCCGCCCCGCCCGCCCTCTGCGGGGCCGCCCGGCCGCCCCCCCGCCCTCCGCGAAGGGGGGCGGACACGGCTGCCGGCCCGTCCGCCGCGGCGGCGCGGGCCGCCGCGTCGAGGCGGCGCGCTCCGGGCGAGAGGCGGCGCGTGGCGAGGCGCTGCGTGTGCTGCCTGCGTCTGCCCATTTCATGCCCGCCGGGACTGCTTCCTGCTTCCTGCGTCCTGCTTCCTGCTTCCTGCTTCCTGCGTCTGCTTCCTGCGTCTGCTTCCTGCGTCTGCCGGCAATCCGGCCTCCGACCTCGGAGCCGCCTCGCGCGGCGCCGCGGCAGGGAAGGAGCCGTCCACGGGAGAGGGGGGGGAGGGGGCGGTGGAGCACGGCGGGCCCCACCGGAGAGGGGGCCGAGAGAGCCTCAGGGGCGGGGATGTCGGGGGGAGCAGAGAGGGCAGGCGAGGTGCGCCGGTCGCGCCATGCTGCGCGGGGAGGAGGAGAGAGGTGTACAAAACGATGGGCGAGCGGCGCTGAGTGCGGGATGGTGGGCAAGGGATGAGAGAGGAGGGGTCTTCATTATTATTGTTATTACCATTGATATTATTAGTAGTATTGTTATTACGAGTATTGTTAGTATTAATATTATTAATAATAATAATACCAATAATAATAATACTAATAATAATAGTAGTAATAATAATAATAGTAGTATTAGTATTACTATTATTATTGTTAGTATTATTAGTATTAATATTTGTATTAGTATTAGTAGTAGTAGTAGTAGTAGTAGTAGTCGTCGTAGTAGTCGTAGTAGTCGTAGTAGTCGTAGTAGTCGTAGTAGTAGTAGTAGTAGTAGTAGTAGTAGTAGTAGTAGTAGTAGTAGTAGTAGTAGTAGTAGTAGTAGTAGTAGTAGTAGTAGTAGTAGTAGTAGTAGTAGTAGTAGTAGTAGTAGTAGTAGTAGTAGTAGTAGTAGTAGTAGTAGTAGTAGTAGTAGTAGTAGTAGTAGTAGTAGTAGTAGTAGTAGTAGTAGTAGTAGTAGTAGTAGTAGTAGTAGTAGTAGTAGTAGTAGTAGTAGTAGTAGTAGTAGTAGTAGTAGTAGTAGTAGTAGTAGTAGTAGTAGTAGTAGTAGTAGTAGTAGTAGTAGTAGTAGTAGTAGTAGTAGTAGTAGTAGTAGTAGTAGTAGTAGTAGTAGTAGTAGTAGTAGTAGTAGTAGTAGTAGTAGTAGTAGTAGTAGTAGTCGTAGTAGTAGTAGTAGTAGTAGTAGTAGTAGTAGTAGTAGTAGTAGTAGTAGTAGTAGCAGTAGTAGTAGTAGTAGTAGAAAATCATTTTCTCCGTCGACCTTGATCGGCGTGAGGATGAGAGGCGGCTCAACAGGGATCTCGGGAGCAGCCAGACGGGTGGGGCCTCCGTCGAAAGCCCGTCCACAAGGCCCCTCGAAGCAGGCCCTCGTCTGCCGAGCCGTGCCAGGGCGTTCTCCCAGTGAGGGTGGTGAACGGCTGCTGCTGCTGCTGCTGCTGTTCCTGCTCGCCGCCTCCTCCTCTTCCTCGTCATCCTGCCGAACGTCCTCCCCTTCCGCCTCTTCCCGTCACGCGCTGGTCGATTCCCCTTCCTTCTCCCGCCCTAGCCTCCCCGCTGACCCAAGCAGCCCCTGAGGCAGTATTGGTGTTTGGCCTGCACCGGAGGGGGTTCTGTAGGAGCGCTCCTGGGCCTCCTCCCACCCCCGGCCCCTGCGGTGGTCGAGCCGAGCCCGAGTGGGGGGCGAGAGAAAGATCAGGAGGAGGCCCTCTGGAGGAGGGAGAACGAAGGAGCGAGAAGAGAAGGAGGAGGGGGAGGAAGCGTAAGAGGGAGGGAGAGGGTCCTCCTCATCCCTCTTCTCTTGAGCTGCGCCGCGCTTGCCTACTGCGAGAGCGGCTTCGACACGCAATTGCGTTTGGGCTGCATTCGGTCGCGCTTCGAGTGTGATCAGCGAGCCGATTGGATTACGGGAGCAGGCTGTACAGCATGTGCCTAGAACACTCCTCCCGCAATTCCACTCGTCATCACATGCCATTGTCCAGGCAACCTTGCAGTTCCGATTGTGTCCCACGCTGTATACGACGTGATTGCGGTGGTCATCTTGCACTTCCTCGCGACGTCCATGTCGGCCGATCAGCAGCGGAGTCTTATGACATCTGGATTTGCAGCGAAGGAAGTTGTTCCACATTTGCTATGTCAAGTGTTCGAATTGCATGCAGCATCACATGTCACCGTGTAGTTTATGGATTCCGAATGTTGGTGCCAAGCAGACATGGAAATTTGAGAGGGCGAATGACGGAGATGCCGCTCTCTCGCTCTCCTTATCTCTCTCTATCTCTCTATCTCCCCCTGCTTTTCTCTCTTTCTCTCTGTCTCTCGCATGATCTCTCTCTCTCTCTCTCTCGTTCTGTCGCTCGCCGTCTCTTGCTCTCTGCTTCTCCTGCTCGCCATCTACATGTAGGAGCGCACGTTATGAACATGTATCTATATATATAGAGAGAGAGAGAGAGAGAGAGAGATCGAGAGAGAGAGAGAGAGAGATCACTCGCTGTAGCGATCCCTTCCCATATTGGACGGTACACGCATGCATATGTTTCACACGAATATATAAACAGTTGTACGCATGCATCTGGTAATGAGTGAATATCAGTGCCTATACAGTTACAAAGATGCGTAACTGCATGTATGTACGCATGTTTCGATACATATATATATATATACACATATGTCCAGGTATGCCCGTATGTATATATTCACATAGATACACACATACCGACATTCATTGTGTATATATACGTATATCTATACACAGACATACAAATTGGAAACCATGCATCCCAATTCGTAGTGATCCATCTTCCTCTCCCCCTCCCTCTCTCTACACATAGATACGCATGCGGTGCAACACGTTATGCCCACATACACATACATACTTAGACGTGCGCAGACATATGTGTTTGACCATGTCCCCCTCTCCCTCCCTTTCTGTACTACATGTACCTACATATTTACATATAGATACGTATGCGTGTACCCAGCTGCCTCCTGCAGTTCCGCCACCGTGCACCTGACCATCAGGAGCGCAACTCTGTCGCATTGTGCGAGGGGCAGTGGCCTCGGAAAGAGGGAGATGACCGCAACTGGGCGCGACAAGCGGGTGGTGGGGGGGAGGCTAGAAGACTATAGAAATCCTGCCAGACAGCGCTTGCCGTCCTATCACGCCTCAACGTGCCAGGAGACACGGTGGCGGATGGACACATGCATAACTATGCGCATGCATGAACAGGTAAACGCATTCGCATTCGATGCGCACATGTCTGTACATAGCTTCGTGTATAAATATTCCCCAATCAAAGCTTGCCTCTGTAGGGGTTCGCGGATGACGGGAAGCGCCCTTGGCGTGGACCGTTTGTTGGTGGTAAACATTAATAATCGGGTACGCGCCGCACTTTGAAACTGCGCTGGCGGATGACGGGAAGCGTCTTCGAGGAACGAGAAGCGAGCTGGACGTTGTGGCTGAATCCCCCTCATATCAGTAAGAACTATCTTAACTATAGGGGGTGGCGGGGTGCACGGGGAAGAGGCTTAGCGGATTCCTCGGGATGGCGATTTCGCGTGAGACATCCTCACAAAAATGAAATGTTCGCGACATCGCGTTTAACAAAAACAAGCGTTTCGTTCGAGGCTTCCTCGAAAAGTTGATGACAGCGAAATGCCGCCGTCTGTGAACATTTGCGTTTCGCTCGGGACATCCTCGAACAATTGAGATGATGATTGAAGTCTTCAACTAACTCTGATGTTAAGAATTGCGATTTCGCTAGGGACATCCTCAACAAAATGAGATGTCCTCAACGTCGTCTTGATATCGTTCTCGAAGTACCTCAAGATGACGAAATGAGAGGCCAAAAAGCACGTCAAGATGGCTGTCAGAACGATTGGGGGACTTCCGAAAATAGCGATTTCGCTAGGGACATTCTCAAAAAGTGAAAACATACACCAGCATCGACTTGAAAACTGTTGTTCTTACATAGTTTTGACCTTGCTTCTGAAAAGGCTTCCAGACGGCCCAAGGCAGCCTTCTAGAAATGTCGATTTCGGTAGGGACATCCTCAAAAAATGATGCGTGCGACATCGCATCGTAATGATTTTAGGAGGGCATCAGGAAGCAAAAGAAGGCCACAACATGGCCCCAAGAGCGCCCTTAAGGTTGCTGAAAATAGTGATTTCGCTAGGGACATCTTCAAAACAATAACAAACCGAACAACATCGTTTTGAAAACTGCTGTTTTAACATCGTCTGGGGATCGATCCTCAAAAGGCTTCTAGATGGTTTAAGCCAGTCATCTAAAAATGACGACTTCGCTAGGGACATCCTGAAAAAATGAATGTGTGAAACATCGGACTGTAACGGTTTTGTAAGGCATCAAGAAGGCCCCCAAAGGCCCCAACCAAGCCCACATTTGACCCCCAGGAGCGCCCTCGAGACGATCCAAAATGGTGATTTCGCTTGAGACATCCTTACAAACATGAAATGTACACAACATCGAGTTCATCAAAAATTAGCGTTTCGCCTGAGACATCCCTTAATCATGGGAACCCGCGAGTTCGACAGATGTTCAAAAACTAGCGTCTCGCCTGAGACATCCTAACAACAATGATATCTTGGAGTGGCGGTTTCAATACCTCTCGTGCTTAAAATCGCGCTCTCGCTGCATACATCCTCAAACAAATCGGACGGGGCATGGCCGGCGAAAAAAGTGCTCATTCGTTCTTCACGTCTATTCTGCCGTGCTCTTTCGTTATTGGGGTCTATTCTGAAATGCTCCTTGTTTTTTGTGCAGTGCTCCTTCGCTCTTCTAGCCTATTCTGCCATGCTCCTGGCCAGTTTTTGTGACAATCCTTTGTTCTTGGGGCTTATGATGCCGTGCTCCTGGTCGTTTTCTGCCGTGCTTCTCAGCTCTTGGGGCATATTCTGCCGTGCTCCTTCGCTTTCGGGGTTTATTCTGCCGTGCTCCTTGTGTTTTTCTTGCATACTCCTTCTTCCTTGGGGCGTATTATGCTGTATTATTGCATCTATCTTGCCGTGCTCCTTAGCTCTCGCGGTCTATTCTGCCGTGCTCCTGGTCACTGGTCGTGTTTTGCAATGCTCCTTCTTTCCTGGCGCCTATTCTGCCGTGCTCCTCAGCTCTTGGGGTCTATTCTGCCGTGCTCCTGTTTTTGTTTGCTGTCATGCTCCTTCGCTCTTTGGGCCTCTTCTGCCGTGCTCCTCAGCTCTTGGGGTCTATTCTGCCGTGGTCTTTGTTTTTTTTTCTGCCGTGCTCCTTCGCTCATGGGGCCTATTCTGCCGTGCTCCTGGTCTTTTTCTGCCGTGCTCCTTAGCTCTGGGGTCTATTCTGCCGTGGTCCTGGTATTTTTCTGCCGTGCCCCTGAGCTCTGGGGGTCTATTCTGCCGTGCTCTTGGTCATTTTCTGCCGTGCTTCTTCGCACTTGGGGCATCTTCTGCCGTGCTCCTTGTCTCTTGGGTTCTATTCTGCCGTGCTCCTCGTCTTTTTCTGGTTTGCTCCTTCGCTTTTCGGGCCTAGTCTACCGTGCTCCTGGTCTTTTCTGTCGTACTCCTTGGCTCCTCGGGCCTTTTCTGCTGTGTTTCGGTCTTTTCTGCCGTCGTCCTTAGCTCTTGGGGCATCTTCTGCCGTCCTCCTGGTCTTTTTCTGGCGTCTTTTTCGCTCGTGGGGCCTATTATGCCGTGCTCCTCAGCTCTTGGGGTCTATTCTGCCGTGCTCCTGGTCTTGTTCTGCCGTGCTCGGCAGCTCTTTGAGTCTATTCTGCCATGCTCCTGGTTTGTTTCCGACGTGCTCCTTCGCTCATGGGGCCTATTCTGCTGTGCTACTGGTCTTTGTCTGCCGTGCTCCTGCTTTTTTCCCAACCAACCTGTGTTGTTGGGTCCTCGTTTTGAAGAGACAGTCCCCGCGTTTCTCCTCCTCCTCGCCCCCGCCCTCCAGGTGTTCGCATGCGGTTCCCCCACCCAGGGCAGCGTTTCGTAGCCCCATAGGGAGCTCCACCGAAGGCCCCAGTGGGGGTGTTCGCATGCGGTTCCCCCACCCAGGGCAGCGTTTCGTGGCCCCATAGGGAGCTCCACCGAAGGCCCCAGTGGGGGTGTTCGCATGCGGTTCCCCCACCCAGGGCAGCGTTTCGTGGCCCCATAGGGAGCTCCACCGAAGGCCCCAGTGGGGGTGTTCGCATGCGGTTCCCCCACCCAGGGCAGCGTTTCGTAGCCCCATAGGGAGCTCCACCGAAGGCCCCAGTGGGGGTGTTCGCATGCGGTTCCCCCACCCAGGGCAGCGTTTCGTGGCCCCATAGGGAGCTCCACCGAAGGCCCCAGTGGGGGTGTTCGCATGCGGTTCCCCCACCCAGGGCAGCGTTTCGTGGCCCCATAGGGAGCTCCACCGAAGGCCCCAGTGGGGGTGTTCGCATGCGGTTCCCCCACCCAGGGCAGCGTTTCGTGGCCCCATAGGGAGCTCCACCGAAGGCCCCAGTGGGGGTGTTCGCATGCGGTTCCCCCACCCAGGGCAGCGTTTCGTAGCCCCATAGGGAGCTCCACCGAAGGCCCCAGTGGGGGTGTTCGCATGCGGTTCCCCCACCCAGGGCAGCGTTTCGTGGCCCCATAGGGAGCTCCACCGAAGGCCCCAGTGGGGGTGTTCGCATGCGGTTCCCCCACCCAGGGCAGCGTTTCGTAGCCCCATAGGGAGCTCCACCGAAGGCCCCAGTGGGGGTGTTCGCATGCGGTTCCCCCACCCAGGGCAGCGTTTCGTGGCCCCATAGGGAGCTCCACCGAAGGCCCCAGTGGGGGTGTTCGCATGCGGTTCCCCCACCCAGGGCAGCGTTTCGTAGCCCCATAGGGAGCTCCACCGAAGGCCCCAGTGGGGGTGTTCGCATGCGGTTCCCCCACCCAGGGCAGCGTTTCGTGGCCCCATAGGGAGCTCCACCGAAGGCCCCAGTGGGGGTGTTCGCATGCGGTTCCCCCACCCAGGGCAGCGTTTCGTGGCCCCATAGGGAGCTCCACCGAAGGCCCCAGTGGGGGTGTTCGCATGCGGTTCCCCCACCCAGGGCAGCGTTTCGTAGCCCCATAGGGAGCTCCACCGAAGGCCCCAGTGGGGGTGTTCGCATGCGGTTCCCCCACCCAGGGCAGCGTTTCGTGGCCCCATAGGGAGCTCCACCGAAGGCCCCAGTGGGGGTGTTCGCATGCGGTTCCCCCACCCAGGGCAGCGTTTCGTAGCCCCATAGGGAGCTCCACCGAAGGCCCCCCAGTTGGGGGTGTTCGCATGCGGTTCCCCCACCCAGGGCAGCGTTTCGTGGCCCCATAGGGAGCTCCACCGAAGGCCCCAGTGGGGGTGTTCGCATGCGGTTCCCCCACCCAGGGCAGCGTTTCGTAGCCCCATAGGGAGCTCCACCGAAGGCCCCAGTGGGGGTGTTCGCATGCGGTTCCCCCACCCAGGGCAGCGTTTCGTGGCCCCATAGGGAGCTCCACCGAAGGCCCCAGTGGGGGTGTTCGCATGCGGTTCCCCCACCCAGGGCAGCGTTTCGTGGCCCCATAGGGAGCTCCACCGAAGGCCCCAGTGGGGGTGTTCGCATGCGGTTCCCCCACCCAGGGCAGCGCTTCGTAGCCCCATAGGGAGCTCCACCGAAGGCCCCAGTGGCTGTTCGCATGCGGTTCCCCCACCCAGGGCAGCGTTTCGTGGCCCCATAGGGAGCTCCACCGGAGGCCCCAGTGGCTGCTCTCGCATGCGGTTCCCCCACCCAGGGCAGCGCTTCGTGGCCCCATGGGGAGCTCCACCGAAAGCCCCCGTGGCGCAGTTCGCATGCGCTTCCCCCACCCAGGGCAGCGTTTCGTGGCACCATAGGGAGCTCCACCGAAGGCCCCAGTGGCGCAGTTCGCATGCGGCTCCCCCACCCAGGGCAGCGTTTCGTAGCCCCATAGGGAGCTCCACCGAAGGCCCGCCCCGGTGGCGCAGTCCGCATGCGGTTCCCCCATCCAAGGCAGCGCTTCGTGGCCCCATATGGAGCCCCACCGAAAGCGGCACCCACAACGCGTTACCAACAATTGCTTATGGTTGGGTCTTTCGCCAGGATAATTTTTCTGCCGTGCTCCTTCGCACTTGGGGCATATTCTGCCGTGTTCCTTGTCTCTTGGGTTATATTCTGTTGTGCTCCTCGTCTTTTTCTGGTTTGCTCCTTCGCTCTTGGGGTCTATTTTCCCGCACTCCTTCAGCTCTCGGGGTCTGCTCTGGCGTGCTTCTGTTTTTTTCTGCCGTGCTCCTTCGCTCTTGGGGCCTATTCTGCCGTGCTCCTGGTCATTCTCTGCCGTGCTCCTTAGCTTTTGGGGTCTATCTTGCCGTGCTCCTGGTCTTTCTCTGCCGTACTCCTTCGCACTTGAGGCATATCCAGCCCTGCTCCTGAGCTCCTGGGGTCTATTCTGCCGTGCTCCTGGTCTTTTTCTGCCGTGCTCCTTCGCTCTTGGGGCCAATCTGCCGTGCTCCTGGTCTTTTTCTGCCTGCTCCTTAGCTCTTGAGGTCTATTCTGCCGTGCTCCTGGTCATTTTCTGCCGTGCTCCTTAGCTTTTGGGGTGTATTCTGCCGTACTCATTTGCTCTTGGGGTCTATTCTGCCGTGTTCCTTGTCTTTCTCTGCCGTGCTCCTTCGCTCTTGGGGCCTATTCTGCCGTGCTCCTCATCTTTTTCTGCCGTGTGCGCCCAGAAGCTCTGCCAAAACGACCACCGCGACGATCCGCACGGCAGATACAGGAACACGGCAGAACACACAGAGCACACAGAGGCACGGCAGAACACAGAAGCACGGCAGAACAGGAGCACGGCAGAACATACAGGAGCACAGCAAAGCACACCCCGCACGCACGCCGACACGCGCGCCACGGCATACTTGCGCGGCATAACAACAACTGAGCATTTTCCACATGCTTGGTGGACTAAAGCGACGCTTCCCGTTCTTGTCCGGTCAGGTTTTTGAAAAATGGCCGTTTCTCTCGAGACATCCTCCAACAATTGGCCCAAGAGGGGACTCCGCATCGACGTCGTGTTCGAATCGCTCTTGGAGTGTTCTCCAACGGCCCAAGGGAGGCCCAAAAGACGCCCCGGAGAGCCCCAGGAGCGCCCAAGAGCGCCCCAAGAAGACCCCAAGAGACCCCCAAGAGCGCTCTAGGAGCCACCCAGACAGATCACAAGAACCCCAAGACGGCCCAAGAAGGGCCAAGAAGGCCCCAAGAGACTCCCAGGAGCGTCCCAGGAGGCCCCCAGCGCCGAGACGGCCTAAGAAAGCTCCCACAGAACCCCACGACGCGCCCAGACAGCCCAAGAAGACCCCAAAAGCCCATAAGAGGACCCAAGGGGCCCCCAAGAAGCCCCCAACAGGCCCCAAGAGAACCCCGCGCGGCGCCAGGAGCAACGTCTTTCTCCAATTGCCTCGTACTGTCCTCTCTCGTCGTCGTCGTCGTCGTCGTCGTCATCATCGCCCTCCGCATTCCTCCTCGTACTCGCCCTCGTTCTCTTCGTCCTCGTCCTTGTGCTTCTCTTCCTCCTCGTTGTCCTCATGCTCCTCGTCGCTATCCTCACGTTCGCCACGTCGTCCTCGTCATCGACTCCTCGTTGTCCTCGCCTTCCTTTTCTTCTTCGCCCAATACGCCCATTTGACTACAGCGGCGCTTCCCGTTCTTGTCCGATCAGGTTCATATGGTTAGGTTAGGTTTGTCGCCGATTTTCGCTGCAAGCCCGGGTGCCCGGGTGCCCGGGGGTGCCCGGGGCCCGGGTGCCCGGGGGGGGCCGGTGGTGCCCGGGTGCCCGGGTGCCTGGGTGCCTGGGCGTGCCCGGGGGTGCCCTATAGCCGCATAGCCCTACAACTCTATAGCCCTATAGATCTATAGCCCTATAGCTCAATAGCCCCATAGCCCCCTAGCCCTACAGCCCTGATTGGGTTTTTCTCCAGTATCATAGGTAAACAATAGAACACCGCTATGAATTTAGATACTGATATGCGCACGGTCGAATATGCGCACATCCGTACACACATACGTACTTGTATACGCATATATGAGTCCGGTCGGGCCGTTCTCTCTCGTTTTCTCTCTCTCTCTCTTTCTCTCTCTCTCTCTCTCTTTCTCTCTCTCGCTATCTCTCTTTCTCTCTGTCTCTCTCTCTCTCTCTCTCCCTCTCTCTCGTTATGTCTTGTTCTCTCTCTCTCTCTCTTCCCCCCGTTCCTCCCACCCACCATACACATACATGGGCTGTATGTGTACATGCTGTGTGTGTGTGTGCATCCCCTTCCTCCTCGTCCCTGGACTTCCCAGTTGTCGCCATCTTCCCCCCATTCTGCTCGTTGTCGTCCTTCCGTCCTACTGCAGTTCGTCGTATGTCCCCCCCCCACACACACACACCCACAGCAAGAGCGCGGGGAGGAGAGGGGACGGCAGGTCTGGCCGCAAGGTCCAGCGCGCGCGGGGCAGAGAGCAGCGCATCCCCCAGGCGCCGATGAGTCCGAACCAAACGCCCGCCGCGGTCGACTGACCCTCATACGAGGGGGAGGAGGGGGAACAGGGCAAACACAAGACTCATCAACGATGTTTGGAATGCACTCTCCCTCCAAGCTCTCTCTTCAGAGGCCCCTATACAATATTTCATTTCTACTGAGGGAGTTGCCCCGTAGGGGGACAAGCGTGAGAAAAACCTGACCCGTGCCAACACATGGTTCTCAGGATTTCATCGCCACGGGTTAACCTGACTGGCACGTCTTGACGATCGCGAATCGTGCCAAAACACCGCTTCTGGGACTCAAGCACTGCGAATCAGAGTAACTACGCCCCGACAATCTGAATCGTTCCAGAACGCCGTTCCTGGTTAGTTTACTTACCATACTTATCATGTTTTGTTAATGTTGAAGTATTCATACATAGATATACATATACAGATACATAGAAAATGATGCGCGCGGCGCTAAGGCGAGAGCCACATGTTGAAAACGGCCCGCCCTCAACCCGTGAAACTCTTGCAAATGTTTAATACGAATGTGCATGACTATGAGGCGAGAATCACATAATGAAAACGGCCCGCCCTCAATCCGTGAAGCCCCTGCAACATTTCAAAACGAATGTGCGCCGCGCTAAGGCGAGAGCCACATTTTGAAAACAGCCCGCCCTCAATCCGTGTGAATCGGGCAATTATCTAACACGAATGTGCGCGGCGCTGAGGCGAGAGCCACATTTTGAAAACGACCCGCCCACAACCCGTGAAACTTTTGCAAATGTTTAGAACGAATGTGTGCGGCGATGAGGCGAGGGCCAAATGTTGAAAACCACCCGCCCTTAATGCGTGGAGTTTCTGCAATCTGTTAGCACGAATAGGCGCGGCGATAATGCGACAGCCACATTTTGAAAATGGCCCGCCCTTAATTCCAAAATTCGTGCAAGTTGTTAACACGAATTTGCGCGGGGCTAGGCGAGCGCGGCGAGCGCCATATTTCGAAAACCACCCGCCCTCCATTTGCGAAACTGTTGCCAATTTCGAGTTGTCGGGACCATAGATGATGAGAATGTCGCAGGCGAAACGCCCGGTCCGCCCTTTCGACCAGCCTCGGGGTGCGACAGGGAGGAGTAATCTATAAGGAAAAGGAATGGAGGAGGAGGAGGAGGAGAAGGAGGAGGAGGAGGAGGAGGGAGACGGATGGAGGAGGAGGATGGAGGAGGAGGGGAGGAGGCGGAGGAGGAGGGAGGAGGAGGAGGAGGAGGAGGAGGAGGAGGAGGAGGAGGAGGAGGAGGGAGGAGGAGGAGGAGGAGAATGGACGAGGAGGGAGAATGGAGGAGATGAAGGAGGATGGAGGATGGAGGATGGAGGAGGATGGAGGAGATGGAGGATGGAGGAGATGGAGGAGGAGGATGGAGGATGGAGGATGGAGGAGGATGGAGAATGTGGACGACGAGGAGATCGAGGAGGATGGAGGCGTGGGCCCGCGGACTGCCGCGGCCGCGCGCCGCGTGCGCGTGGCCGCCGCTCCGGGCGCGGGCCGACCGCATGCCGAGGCGGGCGTCGCAAAAGAGCAGCGGAGGGCGAGTTGAGACTCCAGCGGGTCCGCGCGTGCTGTTCTCTCGTGCCTTGGCCTGCTCCAGGCCCTGAAGGGTGTTGTTGGTGATGTCGTGGGCCGGTTTCGTGTCGACGTCGCTCTGCGGGAAAAGGCGGAATTCGAGGCAGAAGCGATGGAGGGAGAGCGAGAACGAAGGGAAAACAACGAGAAACACCGTTCAGGCTCAGCCCGGGTGGAGACAACAGCAGGTCCGCGTTTGCTGCTTTCTCGTGCCCTGGCCTGCTCTGCAGGGGACCAGCTCCGCCAGAGCCGGCACGCGGGCTGCACGGAGCCGAACCGTATACTTGGCCTTCGGAGCGGCCCCTCGTCGCCACGGCTGGACTTGGACGCAGCCCGGGAAATTGGTGCGTTCGGACCCCCCGAGGGCGAGAGGGGCGTCCAAGGCCATGGCATCCTCATCGCGCATCTTGATGGTACAGTTAAGTCGGGCCTGTCCCTCTCTGGGGACTATTTTTGACAATGTTTGAATATGTTAGGGTATTGCTTGACTATTTTTTATTGTTCGTCCAAAATCCCCCTGTAGGGGGACAGGCCCGACATAATGATGCAGGTTGACTGTGCGGAAAGGCTTGGCACGAAGCCCGACAACAATTGGAAGAATACAAAGCGGCATAAGCAAAACAAATCGGCGCTCCGCGCGGATTTCTTGGATCCGCGCTGGGGCCCCCTGGCGGCGCCTCCGGCGCCGCCCCCGGCGCGCTCCGCGCGCCAAGAAGTCCGCGCGGACCGTCGAAAGTTCATGTCTTCATGCAGCTGTTTCTTCGTCGCCCAGAATCCGCCTGTAGGGGGACACGCCCGACCTGCTGGCACGGGTTGGCTGCACGGCAAAGATTGGCACGATGCCCAGCCACAACTCTGTTGCCCCAAAACCGGCAGCGGGCGGCCGCTGCTAGGCCGGCGGCCTCCTGTGCCTCAACTGGGAGCATGCAGCGCCCCCGCGGCGGCCCCGGCAGCGAGCGCCCCCCGGGGGCCTGCGGACCAGGGCCTCCGCGCCGCGGCTCCGCGCGCGCGGTCGACCTGGTGGCGCGCCAGCGCCCCATGGATCTACGCAGAAATCAGAACAGGAAAAGGGACACGTTGTTCAGTTCTACTTCCTCGAAAGTCCCTGGAGTTTTTGGGGGGGCCACGATCCTTTCATTTCTAACTGTTCCATCCTGGGCCTCTTCCTGGCCACTAGGGGGCCAGGAACAATTAGAACCGAGCACAGCTAGAAATGCGCGCGATTAGAAATGAACGACGTGTACCCGTACCGCTGCCCTTCGGCCGATGTTCCCCGCCGTAGCGGGCCTCCTGGGAGGCCCTCGTCACCACGGCTGGGTTCGCCTCGCACGTCTGGTCCGAGAAGGCACCCCGGGAGGACGTCCCGGGAGTGTATAGCGGTGTCGGTACCTTTTGGTTGCCCCAAGAGGAAAGAGCAGCACAAACACACACACACACACACATTTCCGGAGCTCCGCGCGCAGGCCTTGGCTCGGCGCTGGGGCCCCCCGAGCGGCGCTGGAATCCACCGAGCGGCGCCAGGGGCGCCGCCCCCTGGCGCGCTCCGCGCGCCGGGGCGGGGGTCCCGGCGCTGATCCGCCAGCGCCGGCGCCCCATGCATCAGAAGGGGCCTTGGGGCCCTGAGATCCTGGCGTCGCAATTTTGTTCGACCCGGGCGCTTTTGCAGAAGTCCGGGCCTTGGGACACTCACAGGTCGATGCGGCTCGACAAGGGCGGCAGACGGATAGGGTCCAGGGCTTTGGTCGCGATGTTTCACTAGGTAGTACTTTTTTTCACGTCGTCGGATCTCAGGGGAGGGAAACGGATCCTGAGAATTTTCACTGTTTCCGGTCTCCAGGAGCCTTCCCCCCGGGCACCGGGACCGTCAAAACATGGTTCAGGATGACGAGTTGGTTCTGGGGTAAGGCCCGGGGTCCAGGACCTGTTTCCCTCAGGACACGTTTGCGTCATTCCAATTGTTGTTAGCTCGTAGCTGGAATGGGAGATGGCCCGAATTGCAAATGAGCGTGCTGTGCGCGCTAGCGTGCAGCATGTGGAAAACACCTCGAGCCCGAAAAAACACTGCAGGAATCGCCCATGAGTGTCGACCGAAGTCAAGGATGTGGCTCCTCAGGGGCCAACTCGGCACGGCTCGAATCGCTCTGGTTGCCGCAGCCGCCGCTCAGATTTTCGCACGCCCGCGCCTTCCGCGCCCGCGCGCGCAGCGCGCGCGCATGTGCCACGCGCGCCTTGCGGAGCTGCTGCACCGCTTCAGGTTGCCCGCGGAGTCCACTCAGGCACCGCGCCCGCCTAGGGCTCTTGCTTGCGCAGCTCTTGTCGGGGGAGCGGGAGGACGAGTAGGAGGATCAGAATACCGTGCACGAGATGCTCTTCGTTGACAAGTGTTTCGATTTCTGAGGGGCCAGACCGTCAAACATCGGCCTGGGGCGAAGGACTGGTAAGTTTTGAGTGGATCTGGTTCGGAGGACGAGGAGGGGGAAGGAGGATTGCACACCACGGAGGATCCGTGCATGCCCGCCGAAGCGAACGAGCTCGGGCCCGTTCGATGGTGCCCAGACATGCGACGATATGATGTTTGTCAGCGCGCGGCCCCAAGTAAGACGACGCGATCTATCAAGTGGGCCATTTACGATAGGGGCGTTGGTTAAGGAACGTGCACGGGAGGCTTGAGACCCTGGAGGGTTCCTTATCTGATGAGGGCGGCGGTGATATCCATGGCCAAGCCTCAATTGGAGATCCACCTGCTTCCAGACCCTGGATTCCTCATTTAAGGGCTCCCTATCCAATGCCCTCACCGTATACACCGCTCCTGGGCCCAGGATGGGCCTAGCCAGACGCGGCGGATGTGTACAGATCTTGCCGTCCCACCCTTCCCCCGTCCGCCAGCCATTTTGGCTCCAGGCGTGCCAGGCTCAGGCGAACGCGGGCTCGTGGATCCTTTGCTGGCTCTGCCGGAGCCGGGACGCAGACAGTCTGGGTCGGCGGTCCAATCATGGGGCTCCGAGGGCGAGGGGACCTGAGGGGCCCCAAACCATGGAGCTCAATGTGGGATCCCTTCCTAACCTTGGGGCCCCATCTCTCAGGGCTCCATCTCTGAGCCGCCGATCGGGACTCCAGGTCCTTCTTCCCCACGATGCCGTGGGAGGCCGACCAGATACTCAACGCCCTGCTGGAGGAGCAGATCGAGAGCGTGCGGACCAAGTGCGAGCTGACCAAGTCCCAGTGCGAGTCTCTCTGCGAGAAGGCCCGCGAGGTGCTGCAGGAGGAGTCCAACTGCCAGCCAGTGCGGTGCCCCGTGACGGTGTGCGGCGACATTCACGGGCAGTTCCTGGATCTGAAGGACCGGAGGCCAGAGCAAAAAACACGTTCTGGGCAAGGAGTCTGCCAGAGCTTCGAATCATCAGGGCTGGGGGCAGTCAAGGGTAGCTGCGGGTTCGCGCCTCGGCGGCCCAAACCAGAGTTACTTCAGTGGTCTTGGGGCAAGGCTGGGCCCTTCTGGGCCGCCTTGTAGGTGTCTTTGGGCCTCTGCTGCCTTCTGGGAAGCGGTCTGGAACCGTCTTGGAGGCTACCTTACAGCCGTCGTGGAGGATGTTCTGAAACTTGACTGAGTTCGGGGCGGATTCTCTTAAGAATGTCGGATAAATGTTGCATGGGCTGCAACCCTGTGGCCGAAAGGGGGGCGGCAGATTTAGCTTCCTTCGGCCAATCCCACCACCCTGCCTGAGTTATTGGTCAAGGGCGTCTTAGACGCCTCTCGGGGCCTCCTCGGATGCCTCCTGGGGGGACCCTGGGAGCTTCTTTGGGGTCTCTTGGGGATCTCGTGGGGGTCTTTGAAGCCCTCCGGGGGACGTCTTGGGTGGCCGATTGGCGATGAAGAGGAGGAGGAGGAGGAGGAGGAGGAGGAGGAGGAGGAGGAGGTGGCCGTCATGGCACACGGGGCATAGCCTGGGGCCTCGTCGGACTCCTCCCCCCCGGCGCCAAAAAAGCATCGGAAGCATTGATAGGTGCTCCGCACGGGGAGAGCCGTTAACATTCAGGACATCAACGGGCTTGAGGGCACTCTACACATTTGTCATTCTTATGTTGCTTCGAAAGTTATTCGATCTTCCGGGGGGCCAGGATCCTTTCGCTTCTATGTGTTCTATCCTGGGCCTCTTCCTGGCCACTGGGGGGCCAGGAACGGTTAGAAACGAGCACAACTAGAAATGAGCACGATTAGAAATGAACGACGTGTAACATTCAGGACATCAAGGGGCTTGAGGGTACTCTACCCAGCGTTTACCGCACGAGGGCGGGTGGATACAAATCGTTGATCGGGCATCAGGTGTGCGTCGCGCTGTCGGTGGTGGGGAACATCCATCGTATGACTCCAGATTGCCGTTCGAAGGATGGTTCACACTTGTCTGTCAATGTTGCATCATGCTTGATCCGAGCGACGTAAGGCAATAATAATTCACGAAGGGTTAGCACTACACCACGACTGCCCACGACGCCCCACGACACCCGACAGGTCCCGCCCGCCATCCCATACGACGACCTGGGGAACTCACGCACACCCTCGCGACACGAACACGATCTACGATTTCCCAGCTGGGCAGGCTGCAAAGAAGCTTGCACACACCCGACCTCCGAAACTTCAATTCTGGGCGTTCGCAAGACGGTTCTACGCCAGCGTTGGACCTTGCAGCGCCTTCGGCGCTGCTCGCTGGCGCTTCGCGCGCCTGGGGAAGATGCGGGGAGGGGGCACGGCCGAGAAACCGTCTGCCTCGGGCGTCCGAAGTCGATGCTTGTGTTCTTCCGCCCTCCGACAGGAGCTCTTCTGCATCGGTGGAAGCCCTCCAGAGACGAACTATTTGTTTTTAGGCGACTACGTCGACCGCGGCTACTACTCGGTCAAGACGGTGACGCTCATGTTCCTTTACAAGACGCGCTACAAGGAACGCTTCACCCTGCTGCGCGGGAACCACGAGAGCAGGCAGATCACGCAGGTGTACGGTTTCTTCGACGAGTGCATGCAAACGTACAGTTGTGCGGATGTTTGGAAGATGTTCACCGATACGTTCGATTATTTGCCCGTGACGGCGGTGATCGAGAACCAGATCATATGCATGCACGGAGGGTTGTCGCCTTCGCTTGACTCCCTGGACAATATTCGCCAGCTCGACCGCATCCAAGAAGTGCCCCACGAAGGCCCAATGTGCGACCTGCTGTGGTCCGACCCCGACGACAGGTGCGGCTGGGGTATCTCCCCGCGCGGCGCCGGGTACACCTTCGGGCAGGACATCTCTGAGCAGTTCAACCATGCCAACGGGCTGAAGCTCATCGCCCGGGCCCACCAGCTCGTGATGGAGGGGTGCAACTCGGTAGCAAATCATGGGAGCCTGGCATACCCTCTTAGTTCCGTCTTTGGCGTCGACTGGCGTCGATCAGCGTCTGGGAGTCAATGAGATAGTGCCGATTTGGCGTCGACTAGCGTCGACTTAGCGTCGGCTAGCGTCGACCAGCCTCGATCAGCCTCGATTCGCAAGAGCCGACAAGATGGTATGGGAGGCTCCCATGACCCAGGCATCCGGCCGCTCCAAGTTTTTCAATGCGTGGGCCCCGGAGGTCTGGACCACTTCCCCGGGGCCGTTTTTTCGTCCCGAGTCGTTTTTTGTCGCTCCCGAGGCCCGGCGAGGACACCTGGAGGCCGACAGCGTCCAAAATCCCGCCGCTCCAAGTTCTTTGGAGCGTCGGATCTCTGGGGAGCTGCCGCCGAAGGTACAACTGGGGCCATGACCGCAACACCGTGACCATCTTCTCGGCCCCCAATTATTGCTACCGGTGCGGGAACCAGGCTCGGAGGAGGAGACGGAGACGACGGAGGAGGAGGAGGCGGAGCAGGCGGAGGAGGAGGAGGAGGAGGAGGAGGAAGAGGAGGAGAAGGAGGAGGAGGGGGAGCAGGCGGGGAGGAGGAGGAGGAGGAGGAGGAGGAGGAGGAGCAGGCGGAGGAGGAGGAGAGGAGGAGGAGGAGGAGGAGGCGAGGAGGAGGAGGAGGATCTACTGCTACCGGTGCGGGAGCCAGGCACGGTGGCGCGCCACGGGGGAGGGGGGGGGGGGGGGGGAAGAAAGCGAGCGGGGCCGCGGGCCTCCTCGGAAGGCTCGGACATCCCCGAGCCTTCCGATCGGGGGTGGACAGAGCCCCCACCCTGACACGTCGATCACAGTCAACCCGCACAGTAAGGATGGGCAACCTTCTCAAGGGTACCCTTGCACCCTTGCCTCCTCCGTCCATCCTTGGCCACTTTCGTTGGCCGCGCCCTGCTCGAAAAGCTTCACAATGGGCGTCCAAGGCCCTTGCATCCTTATCGCGCATCCTTACTATACTGGTTGACTGTAGTGAATTGTCCGTTTTCAGTTCTCGAGAGAGCGCCGCGGCCGTTATCTTCCAGGCTTGCGCCGGCCAGGTTTGGGCCCGAGGTCGTTTTCAGTAGACCACGTTTCACGAAAGGGGGTTCTGTCCATCCCCGATCCGAGAAGGTTTCGAAGCCATCCCGGCAGATACCACATAACTTCTCAGAAGCCCTCCGGCCTTCTGAGAAGCCCCGCCGCCCTCTGAGAAGCCCCGCCGCCTTCTGAGAAGGCCTTCTCAGAAGGCCTTCTCGAAGGCTCGGGCATCCCCCCTTCGGAGAAGTTTTCCTTCGGCGACACCCCAGCATACTTTACACGATATGTGCGTCGCCCCCCCAGGGGCGATGCGCCCACGGAGAATCTTGTAGTATGTGCGTTGTGGCGGGCGCGTTCTGGCCGCACCGCTCGGGAAACGATATGCTACAATATGGTTTTGCGATAGATTAATATATCCACATACATACTTACATACATACATACGTACATACGTACACACATACATACATACATACATACATACATACATACATACATACATACACGTTCGGGTCGGACGCGCGCCTCCGAGGAGGACATGGTGCTAGTAGGTCCTTGTGCGTCCCATTCAATGCCACCCCTGAAGACACAACAAAACTTCTCAGAAACCCTCTGGCCTTCTGAGAAGCGCCGCCGCCTTCTGGGAAGGCTTTCTCCTTCTCACTTCTCCCCCTCGCTCGCCGCCGACAGGCGGCGGTCATGGAGATCGACGAGCACCTGAAGTACACGTTCCTGCAGTTCGACCCGCCGCCCCACCAGAAGGAGCCGAGCACACAGGGGCGGTCGCCAGACTACTTCCTGTGAGCGGTCTTTGCGCTCGCGCTCGCCCAATATTATCCCAGGTCTCACAATTAAGCATTCAGCTCGCGGGTGTCAGATTGCAGAACCGATCCAGAATGGTCATGCGTCTCCTTCTCCCTACCTCCCCCATGCCCGCCCTCCTCGTTGTCCTCATAATGGGTCATGACCATCATCACCGGCATCACCATCCACCCTCCCCCTTGCAGCCACACTCTTCCTCCTCGGTGCTATCCTTCCTTCCCTCTTTTCTTCACTCCTCCGTGTTTTTTGTTCCTTCCTTTCTTTTCCTTCCTTCCCCATCCTCCTTCCTCTCGCGCTCCTCACTCGCTCCTCCCTCCAGTCTCCTCCCACCGTTTCCCTCCCTCTTCATCCTCCGTGCCTCGCCCTTCTCATCCTCATCATCCTTCTTCGGCATCCCTCCTCATCGTTAACCTCAGTATCCTACTTCTCCTCCCTCCTCCCTTCATCCTTGTCCTACCCCTCGTCCTCGTCATCGTTGTCATCTTTATCACCATCCGCCTCCATCTCCTCCTCCTCCTCCTCCTCCTCCTACTCCTCCTCCTCCTCCTCCTCCTCCTCTTCCTCCGCCTCCTCCTCGTGCACCCTCCCGCGTCCTCCTTCGATCTCCCTCGCCCTCCCCCCCACGTGTTGCAAATACGCCGCTTGCCTTGTACTCCTCCTCCTCGGCCTTGCTCGTCCTCCCTCCTGCCGCACTTCTCCTCATCATAACCCCTCGCCCTCCCTGGTCCGTCCTCACTCGCCATCTCTCCTCCTGCATTCATCCTCCTTCATCCACTGTCTCCGTCCTCATCCCCCGTCCTCCCTCCTGCCGTACACTTCCTCGTACTCTCCACCGGGCGGCCGGTGTGGGATGCAGGATGCCAGCGCATGCGCCCCCAACCGAGGGGAAATGTTAAACTGCTGAACGATAGGGGAGACACAAGGAGTGAGGGCGGCGGGGGCTTCTTGAGAGGGCCAGGGATCCAAGTGACTCAACGGAGATCGAGCAGGCAACAAGAGGTAGAGGAGGAGGAGGAGGAGGAGGAGGAGGAGGAGGAGGGAGGCTGGAGGAGGAGGAGGGAGGGGGGAAAGAGAGAAGTGAGGACGATGAGATTGCGCAAGGTCGAACGGAAGCCAGCGCGACCAACGCTAACGCTGCCAACGCTGAGCATGGCACCCTCGGCGTCGGAGCCTGAGTCTTCGTCCGGCGCAGCAGCGGGCGCCCATCAGCCACAGGGCACTCAATCTCGGGAGTTCTTCACGAACGAGTCCGAGGGAGGATCGTGCACTTAGATCCAAAGGCCTCAAGCTCAGCAATCCTGAAGCCAGAAGTGCCGAGGCGCAGAGCAGAGCCCAGGAAGTGGCCGACCACAATCGAGCTCGCCTCTGCTGCTGGCAAGACGTAGGCAGCAAAGATAGGCGCTGCCTAAGAGCTCGCGCTCATGTTGCACCAGGAGACTTGCAGAGCCTAGTAGAAGATCTTTCTGGGGGGGGGGGCAGCAATGGGGGCCTCTCCCAGTCTTTGTCCTGGGGCTGCTGGACGAATTGCTGCGCCTGATTCTGAGAACGGAACCCAGCCTCGAGGCAGTGCAGAAAGCGCTGAAGCTGAACCAAAAGTAACACGTGGGAAGAGGAAGAGGGGGAGGGGGAGGGGGAGGCAAGAGGAGGAGCAGGACAAGAGTCTACCCAAGATGCGTCAAGAATGTTGCAGTGAGCGCTCCCGCACCAGAAGTTCCCGCGCCAGAGGTACCTACAAGCCTTCCTGCGCACCACGGGCAGCGCACCATCCACAGACGAGCCCCTGGCAGGCCTGCCATTTAGGCGAGAGCCCCGCTTCGATCCAGAAGTGCACCACGGTGTCCAGCGAGAGCCACGCGTGGAGAAGACCAGCGAGAGCCGCGCGCTGAGAAGGGACCGCCCCCCCAAGCCATGCAGTTGCTGCACAAACTGACACGTCTGGCCCTGGAGTTCGGAGGAGGAGGTCTGCAGCGAGCGCGCCCCGTGGTGCAGAGGAGCCGTCCTCTCCATCCTTGTAGCGACTGCGAACGGTTGAAGCGAATGCAGGATGCGTTCAGGCGAGAGCTCCATCTCGAAAACTGATCCCTCGACGTTCTCCTCCTCTTCCTCCTCCTCCGCCTCCTCCTCCTCCTCCTCCTCCTCCCCCTCCTCCTCCCCCTCCTCCTCCTCCTCCTCCTCCTCCTCTCCTCCTCCCCCCCCTCCCCAGGCCGCCGTCGCTCCTCCCCCCATCCGTGTGGCTCTGCAAACTGCAGGTAGTTGTGCGCATCGTCAGAGCGAGAGGCCGATTTTGAAAACCGGCGGCTTCCCATCTTCGCGCAGGCTGCAGAAGTTAAAGAAGCATGGGCGCGGCGCTCAGGCGAGAGCTCCTTTTTTACAAGCGACCCGCCCTCCACCCTTGCATTTGTTGCATCCCTTTGTTTGGAAACAAGCAATGATCACGGCGCTGAGGCGAGAGCCCCATGTTGTGAAAACGGCAGGCCATCCATCCTTACCTACATTGTTTGAAAGCTTTAGAAACCAATGCGCGCGGGGCCCAAGCGAGAGTCTCATGTTTTAAATGTCCGTCCCTCCACCCTTTAACTGTTGCCAGTGCTTAAGCCTTTGGATAGTAAGTCGCGAGGAAGTCTTGAGCGAAGCGCCCAGCCCCGCCTACGCACACGTCTGGTGGCGCGACAGGTGATAGTTATTTCTCCGGAGAAGATATGTGGAGCCAGAGGAGAGGGAGGAGGAGGAGATGCCAGACGAGAAGGAAGTGGTGGCGAGATGCAGTGTGCAGCCTCATCATCATCGTTCTCCCCTACCTGCTCCAACTGCCACCAGTATCAGCATCAGCACCATCATCGTACCCTTTTTCCTCGTCCCTCTCCCCCTCTTCCTCCTCGTAGTCGTCGTCAGCAGCAGCATCATCCGCATCATCGTCATGACCCCCCTCCGACGACGGCGGCGACAACGACGATGAAGCCCGTAGGCGCAGCTACGCAGAGCGTACTACCAGCAGGCCAAGAAGCTGCACCCAGACATCGTCGGCCCGTCCTCGGAGGCGCCAGTGGAGGGGTGAGGCCAGAATATGTTGGAAGGCCGTGCCCTCCTCCAGAGGGAATATCGAAGACGCCTGCGGCGAATCACTGCCGCCCCCTTGCCCCAATGGAACAGCCCACATATTCGCCAAGTTGTTGGGTCATTGTTGTGGCCTCCGGCCAGTGCCGCCGATCCGAGGTGCTACCAGTTCTGCTTGCAACGAATGACCTTTTGTGTTTAAAAGTAGAGCTTGAAGTCGCTTGGACAACCTTCGGATATTCGAAAGTGACAATCTCGCGTGAACAGCGAAACTCATGGGATGTTGACGTAGCTGATGTATGACACCTTTGGGGGGCGCTCCTGGCCTTCTCTGGTTTTTTTGGAGGCATCCTGGAGGCTTCTTGGGGGCGCGCTGGAGGAAGTTATTGAATCTCTTGGGGGCCTTTGGGGGGCATCCTGGGGGGTTCTTGGGCCGTCTTGGGCCCTTCTTTGGCCGTCTTGGAGCCCTCTTCGGGCGTGAACGGCGTCAGCCATGGCGTCGGCCCTCCCCCCCCTCTCCTCTCCCGAGCCTGAATGGCGTCAGCCATGGCGTCAGCCCCCCCCGACAGAGTGAAGCTTGAGCGAGCTCCCCCCCCCACTCCCCCCTTCCTCCCAGGCCTGAATGGAGTCAACCCTCCCCCTCTCCCCCCCGACTCCCCCCTCCCGGGCCTGAATGGCGTCAGCTATGGCGTCAGCCCCCTCCCCCCCCGACAGAGCGAAGCTTGAGCTCCCTCCCCCCCGCCTCCCCCCTCCCGGGTCTGAATGGATTCAGCCATGGCGCCCCTCCCCCCCCCTCCCCCGACTCCTCTCCTCCCAGGCTTGAATCTCCCTCCCCCCCCCTCCCCCCTCCTGGACCTAAATGGCGTCAGCTATGGCGTCAGCCCCCTCCCCCCCGACAGAGCGAAGCTTGAGCGAGCTCCCCCCCCCTCCCCCCTCCCGGGCCTGAATGGCGTCAGCCCCCCCCGACTCCTCCTCCCGGGCCTGAATGGCGTCAGCCATGGCGTCCCCCCCCCTCCCTCCGGGCCTGAATGGCGTCAGCTATGGCGTCAGCCCCCCCCCGACAGAGCGAAGCTTGAGCGAGCTCCCCGCCTCCCTCCCCCTTCCGGGCCTGAATGGCGTGAGCTCCCCCCCCTCCCTCCTCCCGGGCCTGAATGGCGTCAGCCATGGCGTCCCCTCCCACCCCCTCTCCCTTCCGGGCCTGAATGGCTCCACCAGGTCTTGAATGGCGTCAGCCATGGCGTCAGCCCTCCCCCCCTCGACTCCCTCCTCCCGGGCCTGAATGGCGTCAGCCATGGCGTCCCCTCCCCCCTCTCCCTCCCGGGCCTGAATGGCGTCAGCTATGGTGTCAGCCCCCCCCGCCCCCCCCCCCGACAGAGCGAAGCTTGAGCGAGCTCCCCGCCCCCACTCCCCCTTCCCGGGCCTGAACGGCGTCAGCCATGGCGTCAGCCCCCCCCCCCGACAGAGCGAAACTTGAGCGAGCTCAAGCCCACGTTTTCAGAAACTCACACGCCGGATCTTCGGATAGTATTTCCCGAGCCGTTGTGGAAACCCGTGGGGAGGAACAATTGGGAGAGGAAGAGGGAGGAGAGAAGGAGAGGGAGGAGAAGGGGGCGTCCTGGGGGCCTCCTGGGGAGACTCTTTGGGACCTCTGAGTGCCTCTTGGGGGCCTCCTGGGCCGTCTTAAAGCGCTCTTGGCCCGTCGGGCGCGGCAGGAGTCCGTCTTTGGGTCTTCTCTGTGCCGACTTTAGGCTTTAGGTTCTCGGAGGGCGCTTCAGGGCCGTCTTTGGGGGCCTCTTGGTCCCTTGGGGTTGGCGGCCGAGCCGAGGGTCGATCCGTGAGGGGAGGGGCCGTGCTCCGAAAGGAACTCGCGAAGCCCCCTCCCCGAAGCGGCGCTCGCCGAGGCGAGGTCGCCCAATCTTTTGCACCTGTTGCTCGGTGCATTCTGCTCACAGAAGTCCCCACAGATGCTGTAAGGAGCCGCCTGTTTGGCGGATGAAGTGAAGCCGTGGAGGTCCAAAACGATTGGCTCGTCGTGGGCCCTTTTGGGTTCGTTGTTCGGGCTTCTTGGGCCACGTTCGGGGCCGTCTTGGAGTCCCATGGACCGGCTCGAGCCGTGGGAGGCTCGGAAGGGCGCGAACGCGAAAATTAGGCTTTGTCGGGCCATCCTCGAGGTCTCCTGGGGGCTTTTTGGGTCATCTGGAGGCCGTCCTGGCAAACCATCCCCTTCCGTGACGTCCCCTTCGCTTCGCCCCAGGGCGAATTCACGCGGCCGGAGGGAAGCTCGAAAGGCGAGGGCGGCGTCACGGAAGGGGTCGGGTTGCCAGGGTCGGGCGGGTGGTAAGGGGGGGTGGCCCACATGGGGGGTGAAGAAAAAAGCCCTAAATGGGCCCTTTAGGGCACCGTTTGGGCACCAGCGGGCCCTCACGGGGCCCGCAAGGGCCCCGTGAGGGGTCGTTTCTTCACCCCCCGTTTGGGTCACCCCCCATTACCACCCGCCCGACAGGGGTCGGTGATCACCGAGCGCGTTCCACTACTCGCAAAGTGCCTGCTCGCAAACGTCCGAACACACACACACACACACACACACACACACACACACACACACACACACACACACACACGCACGCACGCACGCACACACACACACACACACACACACGCACACACACACACACACACACACACACACACACACACACACACACACACACACACACACACACACACACGTGCCTGGCTGGCTCGATGCAATGTATCGCAGACCCCCTGCGGCGGATCCAGGCCGCTTGCGAGTAGCTACTTTGCGAGCAGTGGAACGCGCTCGTCCAGGCGAGGCCGCGCCCGAGGAGGATCGGCGAGAGCCGTCGGCACGCCCAGCTGCCTCCTGCGCGCAGCAGCGAGGGGTCGGCGGAGCCTGCTGCCGTCGGCCCCGCTCGCCACCGCGGCTGGGCCACGGGCGAGGGGCGTCTCGGAGGCAGTCTTGGGGGGGGGTCGGCGGCGGCCACGGCGGCGGCCAGGTCGGCGCCCCCCCTTCCTCTGGGGTGTGGGGGGGTCTTCGGGCTGAGGTTCCAGCACGGCGCTCAGCGGCAGCACTGCACTGCCACGGCGGCTTCCAAGCGGGCTGACCGAGCTCGACCCGGCCAGAGGCCGGGGAGCATGCGGCAAGGCCAGAGGACGCCTACCGCATGTTCATTCACGAGGCAGTTTTGGGATCTATTGGGAAAGGCTTTCTCGGAGGTCGATTCCTGGGAGCGTCCGGGGGTCTCTGGGGGTCTATCTGGGCGCTTCGTGAGCCCGCGGGCGGTTTTGGGGGGGGCTATAGATTTGGGGAGGGCGTTTCAGGATTCCGGAAATCGGGACATTTCACAGCAGGACTCTGCAAGCTTCAGCGGGCGAGTGCAAGAATGGGCCACGTTTCGACCCACGTATGCAGTTTTCTCTGGCGCTGCAACCTCTTGATTTATCAAGGTCCCCGTTCACGGTGCTCTGAGGTGCTCCCGAGGTCCCTTTCATGTCTCTGGAGGCCGTGCAAATGCCAAAGTGTTCGAAAGCCTCGATCCGCGGTCCTCCCCTCTTCAGCACGACGTCGTGATCACGACGTCGCGGCAGATCACACCCCGAGCCCTCGACCACCACGCCCTGTGGCACTCCTCGGGCCGGATCGATCCATGATTGCCCGGGGACCCGGCACTGGTCAAGGCGGCGGGTCGCGATTGGTGTTCAAGTCGCCCAGCTCTCAGGCTTGTCCTTCCCTGCCCGCAGCCATCTCGGGCTCAGGCCGCCGAAGGGCCGGGGAGGCCCCCGAAGGGTCGCAGGGGCCCGCCCGATCCGAGCGGCGCGCTTTGAGCGCTCGCGGCCCGCCAGCGGATGCCGGCAGGGGCCCTGCGCCAGGCTGCGGCAGAGTAGCGTCGTCGTCGTCGTCGCGATGTCCCCTTGCTCGTCTTCTTC